GGTGCTCAATAAAAATTTATAAATGATAAGATTTGGGGTGAGGTCCCAGGTTCCTGAGGGTAGCTGGTCAGACCTGAAACAAGCTGGAGGCGGTGCCCACCTAGCCTGACATTAAGTGCTGTTTAACATCATACTGAATGAAGACGACAGAGTCGGGATTCCACACGCAGGCTTAGAGCCAGGGGCAGGGGAGAAGCCCCAGCCGCTGCCTGCAGCCCTAGGTCTGGGAGGAAAGGGGTGAGTAGAGAGGCCCACCGGGGGCCTGAGAGCCAGGCACTCTGACCCTACACTTGTACTCTTTCCCCCATGTTCTTTCCTGGGGCCCCGTGAAGCGGAAGGCCCTCTCAGTGGAGGCCAGCAGTGGCGGAAGGCCCAGGGCTGCACAAAGGACTCACCGCCCTGCCTTGGAAAGCTCGCTCCCCTGATAAGGTGGGTAAATTTCAAAGGGGCTACGGAGGAAGGGGGGGGCAAGGACTGTTGTTGATAGCAGGGCTGCAGCGCTGCCAGCGGCCTCCCACCCCACTTCCCGCCAGGCCAGCTCCCCAGGCTGCCTGGGAGCAAAACAGATTCTGATTGTGTTCTTATCTGGGCCTGCGGTTTCCCCGGGCCCTGCTGGCTCTGCGCTAATGGGGGAAAAGGCAGCGGCCAGCTCCAGGGTGTGGGCAGTGACGCGAGGACCCTCCACGGTCACCCCCCACGGCGGGACCAAGGCTGCACCTGGTGCTGACCCAGCCAGCACCCCTCTCGAGGGGAAACAGGGAGGGGCCCGCTCATGGAGGCGGGTGGTGCAGTGCTTACGAGCAGGGCCTTGCATCTGAACCTGGCGTCGCACCTAACCTCTCTCGGCCTCAGTTTCTTCACTGTCAAATAGCTCTGGTGGCCTAGTGGGAAGAAACTGCACTGCATTTCCGAAGACATGCAGGTCGAATCCACCAGCCGCGTGGGAGAAGGATGGGCAATCTCCTCCTGTGCCATTAACTGCCTCTGAAAACCCACCGGAGGGTCAGCTGTGGATGGGTTCCTACTTGATGGTACTCAACAACAGCAATGATGGGAGGGATAGTACCCCAAAGGATTAAGACGCTTAGCAGAGTTAACCCTTAAAATGCAATTAGCATGGCCCTTGGCTTAGCATGTTGTTGATGTTGTGTACTATCGAGTCGGAGGCAGTAAATCACAGGGGAGGAGACTGTCCAGCCATCTCCCATGGAGCAGCGGGTGGATTTGAACCACGTGCCTTAGGGATTTCTGTATAGCTTCTTACTACTAGGCCACCAGAGGACCCCATATGTGAGATGCTTGGCAGGAAAGGCCCAGAAAGTGAGGGGTCCAGGATTCAGGACCCCACAGACCGGCTCCACACCACCGCCCCCAACTTCCAGCCTCCTCTCCCACAGTTCACAAACACACCAGCTAAGAGCCTACCCCATGGCCTTTGCTCAGGCTGTTCCCTCTACTTGCCATATTCACAGTCCTGGCGCTCACACCTTCACCTCCTTCACGTTTGTGCTCAAATGGTACCCAGCCACCCTGACCACCCCACTGAGCAATCCTGACATCATTACACCCCACTTTTTTCCTAATTTCTTTGTGAGGAACTTTATTTCCTTTCTGTCTTTTTTTTATTGTGGTAAAAAATATATCTAAAAAAAATATATCTAAGGAAGCATTTGCTATTTCAACAACCTACACATGTACAGGAGGAGCTCTTGTGGCCTAGTGGTAAGAAGCTGTGCTGCAATCCCAAAGGCACGCAGTTCGAGGCCACCAACCACTCTGTGGAAGAAGGATGGGCAATCTCATCCCACTTGATTAACTGCCTATAAAAAACCTACCAAGGGGTCAGTTATGGGACGGTTCTGACTCTACAGTACACAACAAAAAGACACATGTACAAGGAGCTTTGGTGGCCTAGTATCAAGAAGCTGCACTGCAGTCCCAAAGGCACACAGTTTGAAGCCACCACACTACTCTGTGGAAAGGGATGGGCAGTCTCCCCCCACACGATTAACAGCCTCCGCAAACCTAGCAGAGGGTCAGCCGTGGGTCAGTTCCGACTCGATGGTAAACAACACACGTACACTTCAGTGATTATGTTCATCATGTTCAGTCAGCACCCTATCTCCTCCCAGATTTTCCTGTCACTCTAAGAAGCTCAAATTTAAAAAAAAAAAAAAATTCTCAAACTCATTGTGATTGAGTTGGAGCCAACTCATAGCTGACCCTTCAGCCGGTTTCCAAGGCAGCAAATCACATGAGAACAGATTATCTGCCTTTCTCCCAAGGAGCTGCTGGAAGATTTGAACCACCAGAGGTGTGCCGCCCTTGGATTAGCAGCACAGCTCCCTGCCACCTGCCCCTGGTAGCAACTAATAAGCTCTGATCTCAACATACTTGCCTTCGCCTTTTTTGTGAAGTCTTTTTCCAAGATGGCACTTATCACCCTCCAATGCACAATATGAGATTCCTGGGCAGTGCTAATGATTGCTCTTGGCCACTAACCAAAAGGCTGGCAGTTTGAATCCAACTAGCGGTGCTGCAGAAGAAAGACTTGGAAATCATTTCTGTAAGATTAGTACCAAGAAAACCTCACAGAGTGCAGTGCTACTCTGAATTTAGCACATAAGGTGGTCGAGTTACAGTTGGCTCAACAATGTTTTGTTTTGGTTTTTTTTTTTTAATAAACTTTTATTTTATACTGGTTTGCTTACAAAGTTCACATACATTTTTTTCACACCAGATCTTCCTTTTTACTCACCCCTCCCCCTACTCATCAAATTGTGTGACCCTACGATTACCTCCCTGCCCCCCGCAACCCCTCTGCTCCTATCCTCCCCCCTTTGGGTCCCCGTACACGCTTTACTAGTTATCTTTCCATTTCTACAATAATGATCTTATACAGTATTTGTCCTTACGGGACTGAGTTAGTTCCCTTAGCATAATGCTCTCTAGTCCCTCCCAAGTTATGCAGTAATTTTCAAAATCATTGCTCCTGCATGCTGCATAGTATTCCAACATGTGAATTTCTTAATCCATTCATTTGTGGTGGGACATTTGGGCTGTTTCCATGTTCTTGTTATGGTGAATAATGCTGCTATGAACATTGGTGTTCAAATCTCTATTTATGCCTCAGTTCTCATTTTCTTGGGGTATATTCCAAGCAATGGAATAGCTGGGTCAAATGGTATTTCTTTGTTCAGCTTTTTATACCATTTTGCAATCCCATCAACAGTGTATAAAAGTTCCATATTTTCTCCAACATTGATTACTTCATGTCCAGTAAACTTAGCCACTGCTTCTGGGGTGAGATGGTAAGTCACTGTAATTTTGATTTGCATCTCTCTTGTTGCCAGTGATTTTGAGCATTTCTTCATTTGTCTGTTGGCCATCCAAATATCTTCCTCTGTGAAAGGTCTTTCAATGTCTCTGTGAAAGGTCTTTCAATGTCTTTTGCCCGTTTTGTGATTGGGAACGACAATGTTTTTGTTATTTTTTTTACAAGTAATTTTCCTTTATTTGGCATTTTAAGAAATAGTAACAAAACTTTAAAATAAATAGTCTCAATATCCTTTTCAATACCTTGGAGGCAGACTTGAATTATAGATTGTAGAAGGAATAGTCATACTGTAATCTTTTATAATGATCTGCCTATTAATACAAGTTGCATTTCTGGGAGTCCAGCCTATTAATACAAGTTGCATTTCTGGGAGTCCACTCTATATAGGTGTTTTTTCATGTATAAGCACTGGCCACGGTAGATACATGCTAATCATTATTCATCAAGTGTCTTGTCACAGCTCTAAAGCTTTTCAGAGCTGTTTCTTCTGTGAAGAAAATTTTAAGCAAGTTGTTTTCCTTAGTGGCTCATCCCCAAGCTTGAGATTTGCAGTAATGTAGGACCAATTTACCATCACTACCAAAATACTCATAAAGCGTTCCAACTTCTTGGTCTGGGGATGGGGCAAAGGACTGATTCACATAAATAAACAATTGTTCTGAGGCCATAAGTTTAAGGAACTTTTTGATGAAGTCAATAAGTCCTTGGATGGTTCGGGTTCGCTCTACAGCCCACTTCTTTGTTTTCATAATAGGGGTGTCTCCCACAGCCTTGAGCAGGATATCAGTCTTTTTCTTGGTGTCTCCAGGAGGTTCTTCTGTCCCCAGGGAGATGGCAGCAGAAGAAGGAGGCTCAGGGGTGACAGTTTCTGGGGAGATTTCTGTAAGTCCTTCACCACCCACAGCAGAGGAAGTAGGAAGCGGGAGCACAACCTCAGATTCTTCAGCCATCTTCCCAGATGGGAGGTGAGGCCGGAAGTGGCCTTGTTATGTTTTTTAAAATTGTATCATGCTTGAGAGGGTGGAGGAACAGCAGAAGAGAGGAAGACCCTCAATGAGATGGATTGATTCAGTGACTGGGGTAATAGGTGTGTCAGAGGCAATAAGGTTGGCACAGGATAGAGCAGGATTCAGAGATGTTGTACACAGGGTTGCTGTGAGTCTCAATGGCACATAACAACGACTAAATTTAGGAAGTGCTCTGGTAAAAAGTTTCTCTGCCAATCCAAATGCAGGCAGTTCAAATCCACCATCTGCTCCATGAGAGAAAGATGAGTGGTCTCCTCCCATGCAGTTTGGAAGCCTTTGGAAACCTGCTGGAGGGTCAGTTATGGATCAGTTCTGACTCAATGGTATACAACAGCAATGACAACAACACTATATCATTAATTCATTTCTTATTTTTCTTGTTTCTGTCAGTGTCTCTCCTCCAGGGTGGATGGAAGCCCATAGAGGTCAGATATCTTGATCTACCACCTCTAGAGCCTTCCACACAGTAGGCCTTCAAGCACATATTTGTGTCATGACTGGGTTCACTTGGGCAGAGGCCACAGTCAAGATTGCATCTTGGCATCCAAGAGTCAGAGAGGCGGAAGAAGCTTCGTTTCTATCCACGGCAGCTGTACCTGTCAGTGAAGCAGGGGGAGCTACAGAAGGTGATCCTGATGCTGTTGGACAACCTCGACCCCAACTTCCAGACCGACCAGCAGAGCAAGCACACGCCCCTACATGCAGCTGCCCAGAAGGGCTCCATGGAGATCTGCCATGTGCTACTTCAGGCTGGAGCCAACATCAATGCAGTAGACAAGCAGCAGCGGACACCGCTGATGGAGGCCGTAGTGAACAACCATCTGGAGTTGGCACGCTACATGGTGCAGCAAGGCGGCTGCGTCTACAGCAAGGAGGAGGATGGCTCTACCTGCCTCCACCACGCAGCCAAGATTGGAAACCTGGAGATGGTTAGCCTGCTGCTCAGCACGGGACAGGTGGATGTCAATGCTCAGGACAGTGGCGGATGGACACCCATCATCTGGGCTGCAGAGCACAAGCACATTGAGGTGATACTCATGCTGCTTACAAGGGGTGCTGATGTCACCCTCACCGACAATGAGGATAACATCTGCCTGCATTGGGCCTTCTACACTGGCAGTGCCGCCATCGCCGAGGTCCTCCTGAACGCCCACTGTGACTTCCATGCTGTCAACTACCATGGTGACACACCTCTGCACATCGCAGCACGGGAGAGCTACCACGACTGTGTGCTGTTGTTCTTGTCCCGGGGGCCAAATCCTGAGTTGCCGAACAAGGAAGGGGACACAGCATGTGACCTGACCCCCGAGCGTTCTGATGTGTGGTTTGCACTCCAGCTCAACCGCAAGCTTCGGCTTGGTGTGGGGAACCGGGCCATC